TAACATTTGGCGGGGGTTGTTTTTCTTAATTTATATTTATAAATTAGCTAATTCGAACGCAGTATTTCACCAACATTCTAAATTAAGAAAAACATGTGTAGTGAAGTTGATGCAGCAATTATTTTGGTTCTAAATGATTAAAATTTAACTTTGTGGTAATTATTTTCCTTTGTCTTCAAAATAAAACTTACACTACATCAGCATTAAATTTAAATACTTTTGAATTAATGTTCTTAATCTTCTTGTTTTAGGAAAAGTGTAAGGTTTTTATTTAAAAAAAAAATCTCAACTTTTTTACGAATTTTAACCAAAAAAGTATCACATGATGTCAGGAATGGAAATTCAGAACATAATTCCATTTTTTATTCAAAGTTTCACTATGGTAGATCGAATTTTCAGTGTCTACTAAAATATATTAAAGTATCAAAGTTTTCACTATAGTAAATCAAAGTTTTAATGTTTTCATTATAGTAAATCAAAGGATCAATATTTAAACTATATTAAATCAAGTTTTTCACTAAGTTATCAAAGTTTCACTATAGTAAATCAAAGTGAGAACTTTGATAATATACTACTATTATAATACTTACATGCAACTATAGTAAATTAAAGTAAACTATATTTACAAAAGTATATTTTGTTATGAAATATATCGAGATAACGAACAGTATTCAAGCTCAAAAGTCCATTAAATAATACAAAATAGGAGCAGAGCAAACACGGACCTCCAAAACATCAGAGGTGGGATCAGTTGCCATGGAGGAGTGAGAATACCCTGCCGACCGGTCACATCCACCGTATACTTCTTATCATTATCGGGAAATAACGGAAAAAACGGCCGACAATTCAGTGTGTAAATAATGGCCTAACAATTAGTATGAAAAATGTCAGTCAGCATTTGACTCAATGATAAATTGTATTTGCTGACAAGGTCATTGTATAGACCATAGAACTTACGAAATGATAACTTTAAACGAGAATGCTGATATTTTTGTTTCATCAACTTGTTTGTCAATAATTTACCTCGTTTTAGAAATTGTACATACGTAGAGCATGCTCTTGCATATCGAATTAACTGACAGATATAAACTATGTATGCAGGTGATGAAGGTATATTGCTGCATAAGTAAGGGAAGTTGACGATTGAAAAGTTAAAGTCATTACGTTTATCATAAAGCTTGGTTGTTAGATTACCATTAACGTCTTTTTCAAGTTAAATATCCAAATAAGCAACAGATGTGTCAAACTCTGTCAGTGATATCTTTTATCTCAAGCTCACCGGGATATATCGTATCGACATAAGAATGAAAATAACCATTGTTAATTGACAATACGTCGTCGATATATCTAAATGTCGAGCTGAAGGTCACAGCAAGTGTTTTCTTCTTTTCACGTATAAGTTTTTGGACAAATTCTGCTTCATATGAATACAAAAAAGGTCTGCTGATAACGAGGCGCAATTGGTACCCATGGGAATTCCAATAGATTGTTGGAAGACCTGGTCTCCAAAAACCACATAGATATTGTCAATCAGAAACTCAAGCATCTTTTTAATATCAACTTCCGAGTACTTGTGTGAACTTTCAGATTGTTTTTTTAACAAAATAATTTTGCAAATGACCAATGAAAGGGTAAGTAAATTTACGAGTTCCATCTTTATTGAAAAAGCAGCTGTCAATGATATGAAAAAGCCTGGACTTTTATTTATGATGGGGGATGGTTGTGTATAAAGTTGAAAAGTCGTAAGTTTTTAAGGTGTTGATTTGTGTAATTTCTTGTGATTTCAAATTTTCCAAAACTTCCTTGGAAGTTTTAAGTATCCACATCTGATTTACACCACTTCTCGAATATATTGTTGTACAGTACTATTGAAGTTTCTCCTTCACTACTGTTAATATCAGTTAGGAATATGATTAGAATACAACGGGATATCAAAGTTTTACATTTGGATATTTTGGTAAGGTGTTTACAATTCTCTTTTCAAGAAAAGGAGGGTCATACACATGTTTAATTCCTCGGCAGAACAGCCCATAATGAGATTTTTAAAATTATAGTAATAATAATAATAATAACTAGAAATTCCGCTATTGCAAGCAATAGCGTATGTAACCCCGAACTAAACCATAAGCTTTAAAATTGTTCAATGCATAAAGAAATGAGTATTCGTTGAAATACCCCCCCCCCCCCAAAAAAAAACACACACACACACACACACACACACACACACACACACACAATTTCACACACAAACGAAACAAGTTACGGTTGCTAGGTTTGGTCGAACGAAAGTTAAGTGTAATGAAAGTAGAGCTTGCGAAGTCGTTCAACTTTCACTTCAAAACATGGATGAAGCAAAATAATTCCTGAATGTCCCTCTTCAATTCGGACATTTCAGCACTGGACATGGGCTGATTTTTTTTATGAGATGACAAACTATGTGTAAACTTTCTTACTTTAGCAGAATCATGAACATTTCCGGCGTGCTGATTGTTTTGTCTATAGTAGTGATGAGGCTTTTACCACCTGCTGGAGCGGATCCAAGGATTTTCAATTAACGGGAATTAAGTTTCAATAGTTTTAAATATCATTGAATGAAATTATTCACATGCAAGTAATACATCCACAAGAAAACTCAAAATACTAATGAATTCAGCTGACGATCGCTACTTAAAAAAAAATACATGTTTTAAATATAATAATTATAAATTCTATAGAAAAACAGAAGAATGAATGCTGGTAAAATATCAGACCACATCAGCGGCGCTGAATTTTATTCATGAAACCTTTAAGATCTTCCCTATCAATTATACCTGCATTTTCTACCTCGCTGTTTCGAAAGGGGGAGGGGTGTATTGAAAATTCACATGTAAATTAACCACCATTTTGAAGTAAGCGTGAAGCCTTAGCATTTTGACAACTTTATGACGAAGGGCTGTTTGTAAATTGAATATGTCAAGGTCATTTTATTTAGAATCCAAGACATTAAACAAAACTTGCTTTTTAACAATAAGAGAAAAATGACAGAGAGGAAAAGGGGGAGATAAAATACTGAATATGTCATTGTCTTCTTTATTTGAAAAGGGGTATATACAAATGCGCCCAAAAGATATATACCACATACAGTCCTTTTCATTTAATAGAAACTCATAGCTATGACAATATGAAAGTTTTCCGTGTCTGCTCTGTCACCTGAGAAGTCATACCTCTTCACTTCATATTATGTGTACAGTCCCCGTAAACTACATAAATGAAAATAAAATGAATAGTTTGTAGTGTTTAAGGAAACGTTTGGTCCTACGTTTTTTGGAAAATGCTAAGATATTTGATTTCTTTTTAATCAAATCAAGAAAATAGTAATATATAAAAGCTACATAGATAGGCCTTTACGTACCCTAGGATTATAAAGGAAAAAGAAATTAGGAAGACAAAGAAATTGAATAAATCACAATTTTAAAAAGATGAAACATAAACGTTTACACCATTTTTTTTTTTTTTTTTTTTTTTTTTTCCACTCGTTTCAGGAAACTGCACTTAAATTATTTTTTCTATTCTAATTGCAACGTTGGAGAAAATTTTAAATGAGATTTGCAAAACTACGAATAGTGATTATTATTTCTATGGAGGGTTTCAATAATATTGTCAAAGCCTCTTACGAGAACATTCAAGGACAAAACCAACTGTGGAAACATCGCGAAATAGATGACTCGACTGCAGCTTTTTTTTTTTTTTTAAATAAATCGTTCTTTTTGTCCATTTTTCCATTATTTTGCAGGAATCACTATGATAGGATGCGACTAACAACTCATTAAAGTTACAAAACAGATTTTCTGTAAAATTACAGGGGAAAAAACGAAATTTAAAAAAAACATGACTGTTTGTCTGTTGCCATGGCAACAGTGATAAATATAAAAATTTGAAAGGGTTTTAGCAGATCATAAGTTGGTGATAATCATTTCTTTAAAGTTTTAGTAAGTTTGTACAGGTCATTTTCAAGAAACTTGCAGGACAGGACTCACTAACAATTCATCACAAAATTGGTCACGTGACATCAAATTTTCTTTGATTAGTCGTATTTTCTGTCCATCTTTTTGATGTTTCAAAAAGATTTGATTAAAAGCAGCCGAGAGAGATGAAATTTAAAAAATACCACTTTTTATCTGTTTCCATCGGAACGGTTGCCATTTTGAAAATTTGGAAGAAAGATGACACATCTTTAGTTAGTGATCAATTATGACAGTGGAGTTTCATCAAGATTGACAGAGGTATTTTCGAGAAATTGTGCGGACCGCATTATTGGTCGAACAATAGCAATATATCTCCCTGCCTTCGTCCGGGGTGACATAATAATATCCTTTATTTATACAAGATAGCACAATTAGTTTACAAAACTTGTTTACATTGTGGTCTTGAAAACATTTATATAGACAGCAAAATTATGTACAAAAGCAAATAAATATTAAGCTTGTAATCTAGTAAAAATAATATATTTACACATGTAACGTAAAACTTCCATGTAACTGAACATAATCAATGAGTTTGTAGGCTTGAAACAATTTCTGATATATGCAGATTAAAAACTTTGTACATGTAATGATGGATAACTCTTTAAAAAGTCTCGCAATTTATTCCATATGTGCCAGCCGTATATTTTAAAAGATCTTTTGTAATATTTGGTTTAGTTATACACGTATTGTCTAGCTTAAGGCTAGAGTGATGTCACGATGTAGCTAGGTATTAAAGGTTAATTATTTTATTTTTTTTTTACATCTGATAAAGAAAAGGGCCAAGGGACTAAGATGAGTTTTTTGGTACATGAAACTCTTGTCTAAAGTTTGATAAAAACGTTTTTTCCTTATAATTTTAGCTGTATTATTTGGTATGAAAAATCTTATAATGGTGATTGAGGCTTTTATTTTTTTGTCTAAGATGAGTAAAATAAATTAAGTGTGGAAAAAATCGTTTGGATAAAATTCATATCAACCCGCCTTCTTTTCAGCAAAATGTTAAAATCTGAAGGTAATTATTTACTGCTTCTTTCTTCGATGCAGGGATATGCATCCATTACTATTCTTTCTTTTTTTCAGTCTCATCTTTAATTACTTGTCAATCAAATAGTTTGTCACCCTTGAATAAAGTTTCCATCGTTTCCCAAGAAATCAAGCATTCAAAACTTCATGTACTGAACCAAGCTGGGGTTTAATGACAATATATTTCTCCTTTGTAGAGAACAGACAAAAAGGCCGATTTGCAGGATTTTCTCTCTATCTCTCTAATACTTCCAACAAAGAAGATGGACAGCTGTGTTACAAAGACGGGCCACAGTTACCTCCCTTAGAATTCATGACAATCTGTACTGGACACGCGTCTCGTGTCATATTTTACAACGAACGTTTGGATGGGATGGTTTATCCCGAAGGATATAAATTACTAATTGGAACGGAATTATGTGAAGTAATAGTTAAAGGTTAGTTTTCTTATATGTAGGTGCAACATTTTTAGTTTTACCTGTTCTGGTTGAAAACAGAAAAAAAACTTATGGTATAATATGATGCCCATCTGTCTGTCATACTGTAGATACAATATGTACAGTACCGACCAGACCCAACCTGACACCCAAGCAGTCCCAGAAAGCAGTCCCCGGGACTGCTTTGGGACTGCTCTGGGACCGCTCTGGGACTGCTCTGGGACTGTTGTGGGACTGCTGTGGGACTGCTCTAGAAAGCAAACCCAGCAGTCCCTGGGACTGCTTTGTTCACCCATGCGTGAAAATGATTCTGAGTGACAAGAAATCCCCGCCCCTTGTGTATTCTGAATTTGCAGGTTTCATTTTGTACAGTAGTTTTTGTTTACTTTCAGCAGAGAAGTTGTAAAAGAAAATTAATCAACAAGAATTTTCCAAAAAAATTAACAAATACTGTTACATGTAGCTATTGAAAGATACATGTGTATACATGTACTCGTACGTAAACCGCCGATTTCGCACCATTGCAATGTAAAATTAATTAGAAAAATAAATTAAATGTTGGTAATAATAAAAGCTGTTTTGCCAGTTTAAAAAAACAGAAGTCAGAAAATGATTTTTTTTTTTTAATCCGTGTATTTAACGTAAATGCAGGTGTTTGAAACTAAATGATTTATATATTAATTAATAAAAGCTGTTAAGTTTACATTCTTCTATGTCCCAAAGGAGGACACAATCACGGCATTAAAGTTTTAGAAAATTTTCAAAGCTATATATATGCTGCACTGGAAAGTGATTATTTTTAGACTGTAAAGGGAGCTATCACGGAAAAAAAAATCAATGCCTTTTTTTTACCGCTTCAAAATAAAACTTAATAATTAATTCAAATAAGGACAATCTTTTTCTATGAAATAATCTCCCGTCATATAAACAACGTGAGCAATTACTTGTTGATTTTTTCCCGGATCCAGGATTTATTTTTAACTTCTAACAAAGTTTTAATAAATATACAAAATTATATTTTAAAATAAAAATTGTTGAAAATATCGAAATCTGTGTTTTATTTCTTATTTCATTTTGTGTACGTTTGAGGAAAACAAAATACACGTAACAATTAACTGCATAGTCTGGCCGATTAAAAGCTGTACATGGTGTATAATATGTGTTAACACTAAGTTTTCAATCGCCTTTGGGCATGAATAGCAGACAGTTCACGCGTTATTTGGGTATCAGTGTTACACATAACTGACCATACTGGTCAACAATGACATTTACATGTATTTCGTTCTTCAAACTGCAAACCTCTTGTTTTAGTAAACATGGTATAAATGTATTAGGATTATTTAATTTCTTAAATATCTGAGATGTAGTCACTTGCCTGAATTACATGTACATGCACACTGATGTACGGGCCTAGGAAGTATTTTAGTGAAATTGTTTTACGTTGCGAGAAGATTCTTACAAAAATTATATCGACAGGTCAATGAAAATGATAGCCAGAATATTTTAGTAAGCAAAATTTGATAAAGAATTAACTGTCATCAAATTCATGTTACACATGTATTTTTCAGAAGCTTCAACGTCAATGAAAAACATAATACGGAGTAATATGGGAATCGGCCTTACTCTATAATTGTAGGATGTCCATGTATTTCAAAGTCATTGAATTCTAGGCTAAAAATAAGCCATTCATTTTATTAAGCACATGATTAATTTTCTAGAAAAAAAATATACGCAGTAACCATTGTAAATAAATAAAATTTAATAAACAATGGTCTATTTTGGTTTCAAATTAATATACTACAGATATAATTACAGTTTGAGCGTGAAAGTCTCTTTTTTATATATATAATTACATATGTATGTTTTTCTTATATATACTGCAGTTAATTATTCAGAAATCATTGTCACATAAGAATTGTAAATATGCTGTACATGAAAAATGTCTAACACTTTTTTCTCCTAAAAAAGAAGTGCATCATTAAATTTCAACTGCCTTTATATTACTGACATTGTTTGTTGATACACTGTGTAATCTCAGTTATGACTAAGCTCCGCCCATTAAATTATTAACCCCTTCTACTGGGACTGCTGGGACTGCTTTCTGGGACCGCTTGGACTGCTATCTGTCAATGTTGGGTCTGGTTGGTACTGTAATCTTTTAATAAAGACGCTTTAGCATGCAAGTAAGGTACAAGACACATTGTTATCTTTATCAGTATTCAAATTCATTGCTCAAATTGAATATTCTATTATTACATTATTTCTGTTTGTTGGCTTACAATATCCAGAATATAACATATTGGTACCAATATACCTTCACAAGAGTTCTAAAAAAATCTATGAGGAAACCTTGTCCATATCCAACCAATGACTGAAAATGTGATTTATTGTCAACAAAATTATTCTTCCTTTACAAGTAATATCACAATTGGTTTTCCCAGTGATACGAGTTTGTGTTAAACTAAGTTTTTAACTTTTTTATTATAATTATCATGAGCATATTTGCATTTTTTTAGTAGAAGGCTTATTATATTTAAAAATATGTAGGTGTTTTAGTATTGAAATATCTTTCAGGTTGTTCAAGGGGGACTTATGGTAAATTGTGCAACATGCATTGTTCTAAACATTGTCAAGAGAACAGTTGTGATATTGTAGATGGAACATGTCTGGGATGTATGCCTGGATGGAGCGGAAAGTTCTGCCAAACGTGTAAGAACTCGACTTTTTTTTTTTTTTTTTGCTGTAGTTGAAGACTTTTTAATACACTGGTCCTCTAATCGTAAAACATTTTTTTAAATAGCGTGTGAAGCTGGAACTTATGGTCCAGAGTGCAAATATCGGTGTTCCGGTCATTGCCATGATAGTCGTACCTGCAATTCTATGTCAGGAATCTGTGATGAAGGTTGTGCTTCCGGATGGACACAGCCAATGTGTAATGAATGTAAGTTTTTCTAGGTTGTACCTATCGTCAGAATTAACTCATTAGGTAGCTATGTATAAACTTTTTACATCAGTATGATGGTGGACAAAAACACCTATTACTCAAAAATATTGCTTTTATTGCTGTTATAGAATAAAATACCATGATCTGATTTTTTTAAACTAAAGGTTAGGAATTTATTGTATGTTTATCTTCAATTCCCTTTCTAACATCCCCTTTTTTGCTCTTTTGTGAACTGCATTTGCCCCAGTAATCATTAATCACCGTTCGCTACACTCAGGATGCGTTCAGGTTTCTCTCTGCGCATGTGCGTGAATGAATTTAAGTTGACAAAAACTATTCATCTAGAGTATGATGTGTATTGGGATTATTTTAAGCTCATCTTGACGAAGTCAAGATTAGGTAAAGCTATATCCCAGGTGTTGGCGTTCTTGTTGAATTTTGAATTTTTAAATAGATTTTTATTCTCAATTAACTGTAAGTCCTATTCTTGACCAAACTTGCATGGTCCATGCTTTATGTGATGGACATTACACTGCCAAACTTGCTGCTTCGGATGCAGGATACCTACATTTTCCAAAGACTAAACAGGTTAATGCTTTTTGAGAAGTTCATACTAAAGTTACTGGACGCTCTACCTTGATGAAACTTGCTAGTATGATGCATCTAGGAATGCATACATCTGGACTGGCCTCCGATGCTGGAACTGACCTTCATATTGGATGAGTGATGGGTTTCTTTCTGGTGCAGGTTAATCTATTCTCCAATCAAGTATAAGCCATATGGTGGTCAAACTTGTATTGAACTTCCAGAAAATTTGTTTGGTGTGAGAAAATGCCTTACATTTTTTAATATAAACAATATTGGTCGGGGTAAGCTGTATAATTGTTGATTACCTATGTTTAAAGTTGAGAGTGTTCTTGTTTTGTTTAAATGTTTATTGAGTTTTTAACATTTGATCTTGTAAACTTCAACTTAAAGCCTGCAGTAATGGACGTTATGGCCCAAACTGTGCTTTCAACTGCAGTGGACATTGTTTAAATGGCAAAACGTGTAACAAGGAAACAGGTCATTGCGACTCAGGATGTACACCCGGATACACCGAAGATTTTTGCGATAAAAGTATGCTTCTATTTTCAAATTATTTTCTTTAGATAAAAAATTCTGAAAGTGTCCATTGACAGCCTATTCGCTTTACTCCTCCTTATAGCATGTATCCATGGCTGGTTTGGTGAAGGATGTAAACAGCGTTGTAGTGAACACTGTGGTAATAAAATCAACTGTAACCATGTGGATGGGGTTTGTCGTAATGGTTGCAGAAATGGTTACTTTGGAGAATTTTGCAACAAATGTAATGCATATAGGGGTATTTTTATTTTAATCGCAATTATGTTTTATGCCACCAGTTTCATCATTGTTCCCTTTAGAGTACCTCTTTTAAAATCAATATTTTTTGATAAATGATCTTTTGTTTGGTAGCTTGTGCACTTGGTTACTTTGGTGAAAACTGCTCTAATATCTGCTCTCAAAACTGCAATGAGATATGTCGACATACTGACGGGTCATGCATGTGCAAAGCTGGTTGGATGGGATCTCCATTGTGCGGCAAAGGTGAAGGAAGTACATGTACATATTTTACATCGACTCGCTTGAGTGTAAATTTAGTTGAATTACAGACACTTATCAATATCTAAATATTCGAAAATCACTTGCTTCCTACAGTGCCTAGAAAAACATGAAAGTGGAAGTTTCGTCTTTTTCATATTTGATATCAAATATAGTAAGTCAGGTTTTAGTTGTAGAAATATTTTAATTCATAAGAAGCTTCAAAAACCTAAAACGATAATGATTGAATGTTGTTAAAAAAATATATGAACAGGTACTGTTTTCATGTTGTATTATGTTCCATTGAGATATAGGAAACCAATGTTATTTCTTCAGAATGTCCCAAGAAAACCTTTGGTGCCAATTGTATTCATTCCTGTAGTACCAATTGTGCTAATGATACTTGTGATAGATTTAATGGAAGTTGTACAGAAGGATGCAAAGAACCATATTATGGAGAAATTTGTAATCAAAGTCAGTCAAAAATACTGCATCTTTTATTTTAAAAAAAGTTTCAAACTAAGGAAAATAATCTTCTTAACTTCAATATTAGAAGATGTCCGTATGATAATATAATTAAGACTTTGTACAATTATCTTATTTTGAGACATTGATTTTTTTTTCAAGGAGAGAGTACTTATCTTCATTCTGAGAAACCACTTATCATCGGCGCAGTTTTCGGTGCTTGTGCCTTCGTTGCTATGCTTATTGTATTAGTCGTTTTATTAAGACGGTACATGTACTTACATTTTCTATGATTTTCTTTGGTATATTTGAATTGGTTCTCTCGATTTTAAAGATAATAGTGAGTTCCTGTGGTTTATTTTAACCTAGGAGTTAATGTTTCTTTTTTATCGCAGCAATAGATAAAAAATAATTTTAGGTACAATTATTGCATCATTAGGCTATTTTTTTTTCTACGAAACTTCACAATTACATAGTAAATTTTCATTTTTAATATCTAAGGAAAGGAATTTTAAGAAGCTGGATAGAAAGGAGAAGACACTCACAGACATATGTTACCAGCATGGATGATTCTGCAGCACAGAGATATGACTCACATAATTACAAAGGTTTACATGGCTTCAAAGACAAAGGAAACTACGTTACATTCGAATCAACATCAAAAGATTATGCTAATGTATACCAAGATTTGCATATACCCAAAGATAAGGGAAACTACGTTAACATGGAACTCGAATCAACTTAAAAGAAAAGGCTCTTCTGACATAGCTGCAGGAATGTAGCTCTCTAATTGAGAAAAAATATCGGACAGAAGAACCACTTTTTGGGAAAAAAATGAAGAAAATAAGATTAATATATAGATTATTAAAAGTAACAATGGAACATTGAACAATTGTAATGCAACCACACGATTCTGATACTTCAAGTCTTATCAGCGTTGTGTACAATTTTACATATCGTCAGTATTCTTTAAATTCAACATTTCGCAAGTTCTAAAGTCGATACAATAATCTTGTTAGCAAATAGAAACTTACGTTAACTCGAATGCTGACTGACGTTTTTCGTATTAATTGTTTATACCTTTTATAAAACACTGAATTATCTACGGATTTTCCGTTTCTCCAGTCATGACAATGATACCACCCCTTGTACATGTATTTTGAGAGTGCCGTGTTTTCTCTGCTCCAAATGAGTTTCGTTTTGAAGGACTTTAAGCTTCATCACTGAACTTTATCTCCATATTTTATACTGCATTAAACGTAGGCTCTCAACGAGACAAAGGCCCATGAGAAAAATTGTCCGCTTATATATATATATATATATATATATATATATATATATATATATATATATATATATATATATATATATATAGTTTTGTGCCATGCGGATTGTGGGATATTTTGTGTCTTTTTCACTCACGTTGTGGGTATCATGGATGGTTTATGGGTCATTATATATTGACCCACAAACCATGTGCCTAAAAATTTGTTTATGACAATAATATAGTTACTATTTTCATTTTTTACAAAAAAAAATTTTTTGACCCATAATTACACACTCAAAAAATCACCCACAATGCAATTATATATATATGAAATCTTACCACTCTGTGGATTGGCAGAATTTCGCGCGTGACCCACAATTTTTTATATACTTCCCCATGAGTATTGGAGGGATTATGGGAAGCAGCTAGATTTTATAGCCTAATTGCAGTGAATCATTATAAGATTGTAACGCATTATTTATTTACATGTATGTCATGCCATGCCATGCATGAGCTTTTGCTTTAAATGTAATACATTGTATAAATCTAGAAAAAAATAAGGTTAAATAATTTTATAAGTTTTAATCGTACTATAGTTGTGTTCTTCCTAAAGTCTTTATAATTATTCAGATATAAAAGAAAGCTTCAAGTATATCATTTTATAAGATATAATGACTTTAAAATGTTACTATAAAGAAGGCGCGTTACCCTGATGTGAACCGTGAAGTTTAAGTAATAAAGGAATATGTCACTATGAAGTCGCAGAAAATCATTCACAACTCAAGGATTATTTAGAAAAAAAATATTACGCGTTAAGATTTTAGGGAAGTGTAATCAAATCAACAGTGATTTTAATATTTTATAGATAGACAAGTACAACTGTACATATCCCACGATGTTCTTTATATCAATATATTGACCCGGAATGATGTATAGTTGCCTGTAATTTGATCCCGCAATATTCTATATCTATATATATGTACATATAAATGACCCATAATTATCCGAAACATGCATTACATGTACATGTAGAACATTGATATAGATATATAGATATATTTATGGAATATATGTGTTTATAATATTAACACATTTATGTGAGAGAAAGAGATAAAAGATTTGGGAACAAAAAAAATTACGTCTAAAACGTATTGAATAAAACAAGTAATTCAAAATAGGACAATCACTAACCATTTTACTCGCTAAATAGTCTCGAGTATTTGCTTTAATCCTCCCACGGGATGAACCTCTGCCATTCAGTCGATTGAATGGTCCCTGAAGGTTTGAAAAGGTGACTACTTCGCTGTTTATAAAGCGTAAACTGCCTAAACCCAGTATATATCCAACAATGTTCTTTCACTTTTTTGGATATATACGTATATCTATATACTTATATACTATCCCACAACAATATACTCGTACTGTACATTGATCCCGCAACATTATATATATACAAATTAATGACCCACAATTATATCATACATACATTGTACCTAAATATTGAATTATATAAACTAGCTAATTAAAAATAGATCAATTAATGACATAAAATGTCTCTAAAATTTATCTTAAAATAAAAGGGTGGGTCATGATGTTGGATTAAGAAATATATACGCATGTTGATCTGCCACTTACAAGTCTTCAGCATCTGACCAGATATTTGTTTTGTAAGACATAAACACAGCGGTTCTTAATCAATGGAAAGTTTTGCACCAAGAAACTTCTCGCACTCGATCATTTTGCTTAGTAACTTATATTATAGAGATACATTGCTTCCAGTCAAAAAGGCTTTGTTTCGGGATAGTGTATTTTGTGTATTGAGTGTTTAAATTCACTAATTATATTAAAAATCGGAAATCACTGAAATCCACAGTTTTTTTTAAAATCATATTTCAATGTACATAAAAAACAAGGGATGACACTCGACATCTTCGATACCAGGAAGTGCCTCGGTCCACATTATAAATAGGCGTCGGAACCGGGAAGGGGGGGGGGGGGCTAGGGGGGCTTAACCTCCCACTTTTTTGCTGAGATATACATAATATAGGCGTTAAAATTGGGGCTTACATTTTTTTTTTAAGATTTAGCCCCCCCCCTACACACACACACTTTCAATTAGCCCCTCACTTTAATTTTCTTTTGACGCCTATGCTATACAATTATTTAAGGTAGATCGCGGGTTTGCTGACGTCACAATAGGATTCGACGTAGAAAGCCTATCGCGTTTACGTATCAAACTACAAACAAGCAAAAAATATCTTCAGCAGTATACGGTATTAAATGAAACATACAGTAAAGCTTGTGTAGTCTGTAAAAATATTTATTCATTTATAATTATAGCTAAAGGATGGATCATTAACTAAAATAAGAGTGTTCTTTATGTTGGAAAATTCAGGGGCTAAAACTAATTCTGTTTATCAAAGTAAAACGCAATAATTCCTCATTCTTTGCATATATAATTGTCATTCAATTTATTTTTGCGGAATTAAAAAATTACATCATTTTTTAAAAAGAAAATTGCGTCACAATCAACAAACCATCAAAACCTTTTCGCAATGAACATAAAGGAAAGTTTGTGTAACAGGAAAGAATAGCAAGCTTGAATAACTTGGTTTTTAAAACAAAAAACACAACACAAAGAAAAGTCGGAAGATGTCCCCGCACTTGCAAAATACTGCACGGACTAAAATTAATGGGAGGCAGGGAGGCGAGTAGTTGAATTGAAATTGTTGCAGAGGGATTGAAAGAGTGTGTATTTTTCAATTAACATTTATATCTCTTTTCTTGCACTGGTGAAAATAAAATACGGATTGGCATCCATTCTCTATATAGAATATCAGTAAGTGCGACAAAACGAATTCCGTGTCCACAGGAACACGCCACAACGCAAATGGCAAAGGACTGTTGCTTTGACATCAACACCAAACTGGCTCAGTTTCGTGAATTATGTTATTTGATTTAGTTTATTTCAGATCAGTTTAATACAGATTAAAATTCCCGAAGTGGAAGCTTGAACAACACCCCCCCCCCTTACCCCCGGAATGGCGTGTCAGCAATGTTGAGGTCAAGGCAGTCTTTTACATGTAGTCCTTCACATGATACATGTATGTGTACCCTTCTAAGATGTCATTATGTTGATACAATACAATTAAAGGCTGATCCAGCGCCGGAGTGTCAAGCGCCTGCCCTCCTATTTGATGATTTATTCGGTACTTTTGTAAAATTTGTTTTGTTTTGTTTTAGTCTACATGCTACTTTACGTGACTAGATATTAATTTGTTTTACACATAAGGTTACATATCTCTAAATCATTATTATAAAGTTATTATCTTGATGAAATGCACACTTGGAATTTGTAATATCTGGAATTTGATTTTTAAAGATCAACACTATTGTCTTAGCCATGCACAGTTATGTGAAAAAAATAGTATGATCATATCTACATGTGGGGGGGGGGGGTGTCAGTGATGAATTAGATAATTCTCAACAAGGGAGGCGTTCATCAATATAGTTTTGAGGTGATTTTGTTTTTAATCATATGTAGAAATCGATTCTAAAAAAGAAATAAAAGTAGTTAACATCATGAAATAAAATATATGTACGTTCTAAATTGCCATCTATTCTTGTATGTCATCCAATAGTGATTCGCATTACATGTAGACCTGCTGATAGTGTTGTGTGGGTGGGTGGGTGGGGTCAAGGCAAGAGTTGTCCCTCTCATTCTGTAATTTCTGGATCCGCCACTGTAATACTTGATTTATTTAGAAGTCATAAGCTGAAAACAAACATGCTAAACTGATCAAAATTGGCCAAATTTCCCCTTGGATAAGACGTCCTTTTTTGTAGAATTTTTCCGCATTGCTTGAGTTTATTGAGGGAAAAAAAATCATATGACTTCTCTCCTGTGTTTCATTGAAATAGTGCCACGCTGTGGGTAAAGTATGGCAACTTATACATGAACATTATCATCAATCAATAAAAATTGAATTTACGGATAACATGCTTTATTTTGAGTGAATTGTTGATTAAATAATATTTTTTTCTGGTCACGCAGGTATACGAAAATAATGATGTCGCACTAACGTAATATAACGTCGTGATGAAAATACAATGTTTGATGGAAAATTGTAAAACTTTAAAGTTCTTTTTCGAGAAATTGAGCTAGAGTACATATTACTTTTTTTTAACAGATCGATTCTAAATTTACTCCACATTTATTATGTTGAGTAATATAAAATTCGTCTGCTTCATTTTAATATTATGAGCATGGTTTTGAAATGCATATAACGGCGTGAAAGGCATATTTTACATCAAATTTCATTGAAATAGTGTCACCTGTTTTCATCAACATTAGTGCATTTGAAATACAATTACAACATAACCACGCAGACGAATCTCAAAAAAATTTCAGAAAGAAAAATTTGAAACGAAAGGATTTAGCTGACAAATTTTCAGCGTATGTTTTCAGACACAGTAAA